GCAGCGCCTGCACTCGACGATTGGGGCACCTGTCCTGGCGGAGCCTCCCTAGGACCTCGGGGCCCTCTCTCTTCGGATGCTCGCAACTGCGGCCGAGCTTAAGAGCTCGTCCTTGGGACCACCCTCCACAACTCAAACAAACGATATTTTGTTCTCGGGGCGCAGGGCGACACGACGACGACGAGGCACCCGAAACAGTTTCTCGAGCCGTCGATCCAGCCCAGGCGACGAGGCTGTGTCCCTTGGGATCGGAGAGCAGTTTATCAATCAGTCGGCACGCCAGGGCAACTATTCATGTGCAGCTGCTCGCCAGGGCCCTCAGCCAGAACCAGGCAAAATCTGCACTGTACGCCTAACTCGCCGAGCTGCCAATCATGCCAGGAGACGGAACGCCAAGACCAAGAAGCATGCGTCTTGGGCGGGCGTTTCCATCTAACATCAATCTGAAACAGGGGCAGGGCCTCTGCGGCAACTCCCATGAACCACGAGGCCCGTTGGGCCGCCAAATCCACATCAGCTAATAACTGGGGCGACGGACTCGGGTGGGTGTCGAGGGCAACTTCCGCCTGCTTATCCACCATCGAGTTCGCGTGTGCATATATTCTTTCGGTGCCCTCCAAATCGTCAAAGACCCCTTCTGAGCGGTGCCCTTTCTGGCCATCGCTCGGACGTCCATTCTCTGTGTTTTTTTTCGGTTTCGTGCGTGTTTGTTTCGCCAAATGATCAAGGATGCTCCTCGATGGTCCTCGCCGAAGGAAAAATGCACACGTCCGAGCGATGCCAAGACATACTCGAGCATGGACCATGGACCCCGTCCAGCGGTCTTCGGCGGTTTTGTATGACTGCCTTCAGAGCGAAAGCTGGACGGCTGCTTTCAACACTGGGTCCACGATCGAGCACCTACGGAAGGGAAGATCGGGACAGCCAAGATCGATGTCGAATCGGATCGATCGGGTCGACATGGACCCCGGGGCCTTTCCTGCTCCTGAGTCGTTTTTGACAGCCCCGGGGCCAGTGAGGGCCCAGGGAAATCGAAAAGCGGCGAACAACCTCAGAACCGGTTTCCTTCAGGACTTCTCTTCTATTGCCATCGCGCGGGCGTTCATTCCCCAAGCATGTTTGGGTTTCCTGCGTGCTTTCTTGCCAGATGATCTAGGATGCTCCTCGATGGCCCTCGCCGAGAAAAAATGCACACGTTCGAGCGATGCCAAGTTCCTTCGTCAAAACCAACTCCACAAACAGAAACGTGTGGAGGTCTGCGCGGTTTTATCGGGTCGGCGCTAGATCCCCCCTCCCTGGCGAGCAGAGCGCGCCAGGGGCGCCTCGGAGGTGCCGCCAGGGGGCCCATCGCCGATGCAAGAAGTCCGCTCTGATCAACGAAAGCTTATGCTTACAGTCGGACCTAGGCCAGAAGAACATCCCTCTGGAACATGAAACCCTCCGTCGGCCAACATAAGCAGAACATGCAAAGGTACCGTCCCCAATATGCACAAGAAGATCCAATGAACACGAAAAACACTGGGGTACCCTCCCCGAACAGTCCTAAACCTTATCCCTCGGTCCGACTGTGAGTCGTTTTAGAGTCGTCCTTCACGCCTGGGGAAGGGGGCACCCCGCGAGAGACGGAATACACTGACATCCGCCGATCTGTCTTCTGCGTGTTCAGTCCGCAGCCCCGGAATAGTTTTTCGTTCCAGGTCGGGGATCTTCTGACCCGGGTCAATCCAGACCCCGGTCAGTCAGGCCTTGTAGAATCCTGCAACATCCTACCAAATCCTGCACCCAAACCCGGGCCAATGCGAAGGATCCTGCAAGATCCTGCACCCAAACCCGGGTCAATGCGACCCTGGCCCTGCAGGATCCTGCACACGCACGATCGGGCGCTCTGGCTGACCCCCGTTTGCATTGACCCCCGTCCCTTGAGCCCCGACCAGACCCATGGTCCATTCCTACCCCGGGGATCCGAAAGCGGCCTCCGGAGAACAAACTTGAGGAAAGACCTGCCTGCGGTGGACCAGGCCTCAGGTCGTCGGCCATCCAAGAGGGGGCGGACCGACAACGAGCCCTGTTCAAATCTGGGCGGGAACTGCTGTCGATCCGCGCCCCCCTCCTTTCCGCACCCCCCGGATCGTGCCAAGAATCAGAAACCAGGCGAAGGCTGGCAAACCCGTGGCTGCTAAAACGGAGCTCCATAAAATTGCTTTTCTCTTCCGGGAAGCAGCCCGTTGACTGTTCAGTGCGCTGGGCCTTCTTCCAGGAATTTGTTTTTTCTTCCGGGGAGACCGTTTTAGCAGCCACGGATTTGCCAGCCCTCGCCCAGCTTCCGAGAGAGGGGGGGGGGGCCTCCCGCGAGGGGCGGACGATGCACACAGCGGGGAGGCCTGCGACGACTGCGTGCTGCTCCCGCGCGGGGGCGGCGGGGGCGGGGGCGGCACGCCCCGCGGCTGCGACCTGACCCCGCCCTCCCTCCCTCCCGGCAGGCGCTCGGAGGCCCGGTGCACGGAAGAGGGGGCCCCGTTGACGGGGGAGCGGCAGGGGGCACCGGCTTGGGGCTCGGGGGGGGGGGGGCTCGCCATGGCTCGCGCGTCCATGCCCCGTGCCTGCTCGCACTTCCTTCGTGGACTGTGTCGCAAGATGGAGCCGAGGTGCTCCTCGATGGTCCTCGCCGAGAGAAGAATACTTACACACATACACACACGTCCGAGCGATGCCAAGGGGGGGAAGAGGGGGGGAAGGACCGAGCTGCCATCGCCGCGACATCGCCGAGAGATCGGCGACACGCATGACAGCAGAGCCGCATTCTCCTGGGCGAGGCGGGGCGGGGCACCGGGCCCCTGTCGGCGATGCACGGGCGACGGGGGGCGATGCCCCCCCCCCCCCCTGGAGCCCATCCGCCCCCCTGACGCTGCATCGGGGGCTCTGGTCTGGTGCGCCGCAGGCGGGGGCCATGCTGGCGAGGCGCGACAACGGCGGCGGCATCCTCCACGACGACGACGACGACAACAACGACGACGGCATCCTCCACGACGTTTGTCTGGGAGGCCTACAGGGGCGCTGCTGGAGGTCTCGGGTGCCCCGAGGAGGCGGGCCGGGAAGAGGGGGGCCCAGCGAATCGAGACCAGAGGCACGCGCCCTGACGAGGGGGGTGGGGACTTGGGACGTGATGGAAGAATAGTGGACGCCCGAAATGGGTACGGAAAACATGGGCACAATGCCCAACAACACATGTTGTCCCAAAAGCAACAGCGGCGGCGGTTCGGAAGGCGGCCTTCGGTCTCAAACGGACAACGCCCGCGGCGACACCGACAGCGAGTCCTGTTCAAAATGAACAGGGACTGCTATCGGTCTTTGTACCCGTTCTCTCCGTACCCATGCCGATCGTCCCAAAAGAAGAGGTGGTCCGAAAGTCTGAGAGATGTGATGGCTCTGGCCATCATCTCCGCACACCCCTGGTCTTCACCCCGGCTCTTCTGAAGGGGGCCAGGGACACACACACACACATAGAATGACACAAAACCCAAGACTTCCTAGATTTTCCAGAGTTTTATGGGTTTTCGTCTTCCCCGGGAGTCGAGGATGAATTGTGTCTGTGTGTTTGTGTGTTATGTGTTGTGCGTGTTTTGTGTGTTGTGCGTGTGTGTGAATTGTGTATATGTATTGTGTATAGTGTGTGTGTATTGTGTTCGTATGGTGTGTATTGTGTATAATGTGTGTATTGTGTGTGTGTGTTCTCCTCCTGATCTTCGACGCCCCGTGGATGTGGCCTGGCCCGCCCTCTCTCCCGACGTGCTCCCCGGGCGAGGGAGGCAGCTCCTGGGAGGTCTGCGTGGGGACCCGCTGGACACAATCTCTGAGAAGGGCAGCCGAAAAGGAGGACTGGCTCATGGGGGCAGGAGAGCCCAGAATTAGGTCGGGCATGTCCTCCTACAGGCGGATTTTTGGAGGGAAAAAATAGCCGGAACAATAAAAAATAATCAAACACAATCAAACATCGCCCCCAGACTTTGTTTTGACTATTTCTGGATATTCCTTTAGTAGAAGGACAAGCCCGACTTAAGAACATAATCGAATCGGAAAATGGTTCGGCGATCGGAATGAATGGGATCGGCGGAAAGCGGAAGCCGAGTCGGTAAAAATGGGGTCGCCGGCAATCGGCAAGCTAATAGGCCTCCATTGGGAACTCGGGATCCAAATCGGAATCCCATATCGAATCGAATCGGGATCGGAATCGATCGACATCGAGTCCAATCGAATCGGAAGAATCGAAATGGACCCTGGCAGGGAGGACTGCCTCAGGGGGAGGCGAAGATCTGGAATGGGCGATACACCGTCAATAGATCGGCGACGGGCCCCTGATCATCTTGCACCTCAGGGGTAGCTTAAGAACGTCCGAGGAGGAGGATGAGGCGGAGATTCCAGGGTCGATGAGGGTCGAGTTTTGAGGAGGCAGATGCGGTTCGAAACTCGAGGAGGAGGAGCAGCGACGTGGAGGAGGTTCGAGGATCGAAGAGGGTCGAGGATCGATGAGCATGAGGAGGTCGTTCGAGGATCGAGGAGAAGGAGGAGGAAGAGGGTCCTTCTTCCCCTCCACGTTGCCTTCCTCCTCCTCCTCCTCCTCCTCCTCCTCCTCCTCCATCCTCCTCTTCCTCGCCTTCCTCCCTCGTCCTCCTCACTTCTCATCATCCTCGCCTTCCTCCTCCTCCTCCTCCTCCTCCCTCCCTTCTCCTCGCCCTCTTCACTCGTCGCCATCATTCCCTGGGCCAGAACTGTCCACCACCGTTCCTCCCCGACAATCTCCTCCCGTGGAGGCGGAAGAGGAGGTTCGAGGATCGAGGCGCTTCAATGGTCAAGGTGGATACGGACGAAGTTCGCCGTCACCGAGCCTTCCGGGCAACAACACAAGATGGGGGCATATCAATACATTTCTCACCCCCTCCCTAAGTATCGCCTCCGCTCGTCCGACACGACCCCTCCCCGACCCCTCTCCCCCTCCTATGGCAGGGGTCGCCGACAACGCCCGTGGAGGAGGAGGAGAGGAGGAAAAGGAAGGGGAAGAGGAGGAGAGGATGAGGCTGAGGATGAGGAGCAGGAGGTCCGAGGATCGAGGAGATGGAGGTTCGAGGAGGATCAAGGAGGGGGGAGAGGAAGACGGTTCGAGGATCGAGAAGAAGTATTCGTAGACCGAGGAGAAAGAGAATGTTCGAGGATCAGGGAGAAGCAGTCTTTTCCTACCCCTCCTCGTCGACGTCATCGGACTCCTCCCTCCTCCTCATCCTCGCCTTCATCCTCCTCCTCCTCTTCGCCATGCTAGTCATCGTTCTTCTGGCCAAGATCAACGTTGAACAATCAACGTTGAACAATCAAGATCCCCGACCCCCTCCCCACCCGTGCAGGAGGAGGACGACGACGAGTTTCCAGGACCGACGAGGAAAGAGGAGACCACAGGGTCGACGGCATTCGAGGACCGAGGATCGGCGACGAGCCCCTGGAGGCCCAGGGGGGAAGTGACCAGGGGCGGGCCTCCTCAAAGGTTCGGACGTTGCCAGGCATCCGGAACGTTTGCTGGGCCTCCCCCGAGAGAACACAGCAAACCTCTCAGAAGGCCGGCGGCCTTCCGAGAAGTTTCGCCACCTTCTGAGAAGGCCTTCTCCCTCAGAAGTACACGACATGTATGAATACTACTCCCCTCTCTCCCCTGACTCTGTCCAGAGAGTGTCCCGTTCTCTCTTGGGTACTGTGTTTCACACACTGGGTTTCATTAGTTGGTTTTCCCTGTGTTTTTTTCCATCTGGTCGTTTGTGGCTTTTCCAAAATGGTATTCCCGCTGCAGCGCCGCCCTCATGTCCGCGATGCGGTCATTTAAAATCGTGCTCCCTCTGCAGCGCTGGCCTCGTTCCCGCGCCTCCGGACGGTACTTGGCATCCGAAAGCGCCCACATCGGGTAGGCACGGTTGCGGAGGACATGGAACCGGCATTCAAGCCCTGTCCTCTTGTAGACGGGCCGCTTACCCTCCAAGTCATTCGGTGCCATGCCACGGCATGCATTGCGATGCTATGTTGTGCACCACTGTGCGATGTCATGCTTTGAGTTGCTATGCTGCTTTCTGACGCAATGCTTCACTACGCGATGCCACGCCATGCTATGACATGCTATGCTCTGCCGTGCTCTTCCACGCCATGCGTTTCCATTCATCGCGTACCCTCTTCGGATCATTGCCCTGCTCGACATCCGACTGTGCGAATAGATGAGAGATCTACGTCATGGTATGGGATCGGAGGGAGGAGTGGGACGTCAGATGTGACGCTAGCGCACCTAGCTTGTCGCTTCCCCCCTCGCTCGTCGCCGAGAGGAGGATGACATACTTCGAGGATCGGGGACGAGGATGATGATGAGGAGGAGGAAGAGGTTCCTCATCCCCCTCCTCCTCGCCCTCCTCATCCTTCTTCATTATCACGCTCATCCTCGGCCTCCTCCTTCTATTCAACCGTCGCCCTCCTCATCGCCATTTGACATCGAGGAGACGGGCCTTGACGACACAGGGCCCTGAACCCCAGGGCCCTCCCTTAGGACCAACTTCCATCTTTAAAGGGGCCCACGGGCACAAAGATAAATACACACACAAATCCCAAGAATCCACATATTTTCTAATATTTTCTTCCCCCCCACTTCCTGGGAATCGACAATTAACTGTGTCTGTGTGCTTCCCCCTCCTGAATCTTGAATGTCTGTTGACGGCCACGCGGCCTCGGGAAGGCCCCGAGAGCCCCAAAACTGCGAACAAAAACTCAGGGCCCGTCTCCCTCAGATGAAAAGAAAACACTTAAACGTAAAAACTCGGGGCGGCGCCGCCCGGGGGGTCCAGCGCGGATCCGAGAGATCGCGCGGACCTCCGAAGTTTTCCTGAATCAGAGCTTGCGGATTCATAAGGAAGTGACGTTCGGCGTCAAATTCCCAAGGCCCAAATGCCGGGGTGCGGTTCACCGCCGATTTCCCGGGTGCCCATCAGGTGCCCGGGTGCCTTAGAGCCCTAGAGCCCTAGAGCCCTACAGCCCATGAGCCCCGTAGCCTTTTTCCTCAATCAAAATTTGCCTCTGTATGGGGTCCTCGCAGATTCATAAGGTTTGGTGAATGACGCCGCCGATGTCCCGGAGGCCTGGGGGCCCGGGGGCGGTGCGTCGGGATTTTTTCCACGTGCCCTATAGCCCTATAGCCCTACAGCCCTGTAGTGATACAGCCCTATAGCCTTATAGCCCTATAGCTCTATAGCCCTGTAGCTCCATAGCCCTGTAGCCCTATAGCCCAACAACCCAATAGCCCTATGAACCTATAGCCCTATAGCTGTATAGCCCTATTGCCGTATAGCCCTAGAGTGCTACAACCCTATAGCCATAAAGCCCTGTAGCCCAATAGCCCTGTAGTCCTATAGCCATGAAGCCCTATAGCCCAATAG